CATTTGTTTCTCTTTGCTCCCCATTCTCCTTAAAATAATTTTTAGGACATGGTTGAATAAAGGATCCGTGCCTAACAAAATGCATTTTCAGACGAGCGAATATATCTGGAAACGGTTGTCGTCTCTCTGGATATCTAACAAACAAAACACATTTTTATAATATAAAAGTTATAGTATTTTCCTGTGGTTTGCATTGCATTGCATTGTATAAAACATACCAACATATAATTTTTTCAGAATTTTCATACTTTGCCATTATAATACAAAAATTAATTAAAATGAAATCAACAGAGAAAGAACAAATGGATAGGTAATATAATTAAAAACTAACAGTCTCGTAAGTTTTTGACACATATGATTTTTTGATTTTAATGGATGTGTCATAGCCAACTATCTGCTTAACATTATAATATAAAATTTATCATATTCATAAGATATTCATATTTAACAAAATATTATTTTAATCTTGTTTTTTCGAAATTTAATTAAGAGATTTTTGTATAGTAATAACTGCTTAGACGTATTTTATTTTTAGTTGATTTCGTAGAAAATGAAAAAATTTGAATTTTGAGATTCATTTTCAAAACAACTTTATACTAATAAATTTTTGAAAAGCCTAAATGATTTCTAATTAATTTTAAAAATAATATATAGGGAGTTCATTAAAAAATATATGTTTGCTTCGTAACAAAAAAACGGTTAGTTAAAAACAAAGTACTCCACTGGATTTTGCGAAAAAAATCCTATACGAAAGTTTTTTAAACTCTTCAAAATCGGTAGTTATGGATTTCACCCTATATATTAAAAACAAAGAGAGCTGTGATAGTTTTTTTGACGGCATATTTAATTTCCCAAAAAAGAGTAGCAGTGTCGGAATGCCTTATACTAACCAATGATTTATTTTCTGCACAAAAAGTCGTTAAATTTCATGACTAGACTCTCGGTCGTGTTTTTCGAGCGGCGTGGGAAAACGACTTTGCAGTCGTGTGTCTTGTTTATTTTCGGACAACCTTGTTCGAGAAATTCTCTGTTGCCGTAGGTCACGGCGTCTATCGAAACCGTACAAATAAGCATTTAAAAGAAAAAAGATAACGGCGAACAGACTACATAACTAAGCAATCTGCGATCCACTTTGATAATTTGGCATATTGTCCGTGTAATCTTTCGGACGGTTGCAGCCTCGTTAGGGCCGTTACGCATCAAGTTAAATTAATTTCTACATCATTAAAGTTTCACTTCATTCACGATGGAAACGTATAATTTCGCTGCTTTATTTGGAAAATTTCTCGGAATTGGACGTGGCATATATATGCCATGTTTATTCTTATCGACAGAAAAGGAATGGAATTTTTTATGTGCGGTTCGTAATTAAAATGAATAAATAAATGAATAAAAATATCCTTATTTAAGTAAAAGGTAGTTCTACAAATGCAAAATGGGTGGCAGTATCCAACTAGGCTGCTGTTATACAACCACCCCACTGAAAAAAAAACCCTTGGTACCACTAAAAAAGAAAAATAAAATAATACAACAAAACGCATAAGGGATAAATAAATATTTTTTTATTTCCTCTGACGTCGGGCGGTAGGGAGTTAAAGATACTACTGTTACTAAAGAATCGCTGGTGAGTCAACGATGGAGTAAAGTTCATTATCTTTCTGGTTACGACAGTTATGAGAAAAACGTAAATATAAAAGTTGTAAAGATTGGTAGGATGCGTCACGAAGGAAATGTACATTGTTTATACATCATGTGCCAATGTACCTTTAGAGGAAAACTTTGTGATTTTTACACTGTTGATTGGGCTGACAGTTTTGAGCTTTTTGATATAGTGTTTAACCCAATCATAATGTGCTTATTTGCTTTGTGTTAATTACCTTTAAAACTTTGTTGACTTTTGCATGGATGTTTTTGAAATTCTTTGTCGTTTATAAGTTTTGACAAAGTAAAAATTTCGAAGTTTTCAAATTAATCTTATTTTTTTGCGATTTTTTTTTAATTATTAGTACAATTTTATACAGCGTTATTGGTTAAACAATTTTTTTATTGCATTAAATCACATAGTCCAACTTTGGAATCCGCAAGTACAACTAAGGAAACCAGTTTTCCTTGAACCACTCACATCAAATTTCTATTCCTACACATAGACAATATCCCAAAGGGTCCTAGGAAACAGTTAAAAAATTAATTATATCTCACCATTAGAAACTATGAGAAGAAATGTGAAAATCACTCCAATATAGGCAACCTTCCTCTATATGATGTCCATAAAGATCACACCTAAACATTAATTTTATAACCAAAACCTAACTAAAAGCAATTAGGTATTTTTTATTCAATAAATTTAAAGAGTCGTGTTTTATTTCTTTTTATATTGTTATCGTCATAATTATACATTATATTTTACAAGAAATTTATTACAAAACCAATGGGTGGTACTGCGTTGTAAATAGGAGAACCTAACCTAATAAAACATTAATATTGCATATATATATATATATATATATATATATATATATATATATATATATATATATATATATATATATATATATATATATATATATATATATATATATATATATATATATGAAGCTAAAAAATAGGACTTTCCACTCTAAGCACAGCGTAAACAAAAAAAAATTATTTTCCTTACACTTTATGATGATGACCTCATCGTTTTAAATCCATGGCATGCTTAAATTGTTATTTTAAACATTTAAAATAATATTTTGTGATGCCTATTTTATTATTTGTTAATTATAAGTTGAATGGTTTTCTTTTCAATCCAAATGCCGACAATATTTTTGTTTCAATAAGAATAAGCAATACAAATGATCATGCACATTTTAATTTAATGATGATATTATAGAATCATAAAACGCACCAAGGGGCAAAATCATATTTAATTTTGATCAAATCGTTGGCGCTTTTTTAAATTTTACAACGTTCTTTCTCTGAGTGCACTTAACGGGTCTAGATGTTTAAACTTTCGAATGATTTACCTCCACTTCTTCAAGAAGTTGATCACATTGACAAGAATTGTGGTTTCAGCAAGATGGAGCTCCATCCAGAAGGTCGAGAATATTAATAATATTTTTTGTTTTGCTATTTTTATATGTTGTTGCATAATATATTATAATAGCATTATTGCTGTCATGATCTTTACTGCAAAACAGCCTAGGCAGTAAAATGGAAATTAGATAAATATACCTCTAAAAACAAAAATACGACTAGATCAGGGAAATTACATAATGGTCACCACAGTTCGTTAGATTTCGATGAGAAAAAACCGTATTATTCCGCTAGCAAAATCTGCTCTCGAGTTCAAGAGTTCAATAACGCCGACCAAAGGATTAGAAACACGTCTTCCCAGTAGTGGGATAAGACCGCTTCAAATTACCAATAATAGGCCGACCCGTGGGGTTCGCTATAATTTGGGTTCCTCGCAAAACAACACATCAATCTCGAGAATCATTAGCTAGGGAAGTTTTTGTGTATTAGTTTGACATACGTATTTTGGGAGTTTGACCTTGTACACGCGGATCACTGAACCGAGCTTCGTATTTTGTTTCCCTTTTCTCCCCGATTAAACATAATAAGGGTTAATAATTCGCCCTCAGTCATGCATGATTGCTTTTAATTAAATTCTAATCAACTTCGGGGATCTGAAGCCGCATCGAATAATAACCGCGGCGTTTCCATTAAAAGGTATCGTAACCGATTATTGAAGATAATTGAATTCGTTTAACGCCATCATTACCAGTTGCTCGGTTTCCCCAACGTGTGATGTTAAAGATAGGGCCATAAAGTCATGCATCACATCTTTATCTAGTTCATTACTGGTTGTCGTAAATTGACACCGGCATTGTGCTTGTCGGGATTGAAATCCGCGTCGAATGCGCGTCAAAATCAAAATCCTTCTTTTAAAACTTGTGGATTATTTAGTGCGATAGAGAAGGTTTGGTCAGATTGTATTGGTTTGGTATTTTGATGCCAAAATAGCTTCCAACAATCCCGTAAGATCTGATGCTGTGCTGCGTTTATGAACTGAAGCACTTACACAAATAAAATAATTATAATACTTCTGATGGAGTATTCGTTACACTTTGTTTCAGTTCAAGTGAGGCTTGGGAAAGGAGAAAGGTCATCGATGCATCTAATATTCTCCCAGTTGTTATCGATATGCATGAATCACACTGGGAGGAAGATATTTTTTGCTGTGATGAATAGTTTTTGTTCCTCTTCTTTGCTCTTTCGATTTTATGACCTTGTTTCTAGTAGGTTCTGCCAGACGAGTATTGTGGAGCATAATAGAAAGTCGACAAGGCTCTTCCACAGAAAGAGTTTCTGATTGTTAATATTTCAAAAAAAAGTTTTACTCATTTATTACAAACACTATCCACATCAGGCCCCCACTTTACGAAAGCATCGATAGAAGAGGCAAGAACCCTTGATGTGTGGTTTAATTACAAACGTGAACCAGCAACGCTGAATGCCAAGTCCAACAAAGTGTGCCACAATACCGGGGAACCTATTGGTCAGACTGATGCTGTGTTATAATTAAAAGACTGTAAAAAAATTCAGTAAGCCCTACAGATAATATATGACTGGACGTTCTACATTTAGTAGAAAGAAAAAATAAATAAATTTTGAATATAAAATTGGGGGAACCGTGTTGGCTGGGAGTTGCAGAAATGCGGGTTCTCGGTGTCAGTTATTTTTCGAGGCACATATAAATAATACGACAGGAGATGAAATGAAATTACTAAATTGTTAGTTCTCCAATGTTTTAGTTGGAGAACGATAGGTGCTAACACTAGGTAGAAAGTTTAATCATGGTATGGGAATCTTAGGGAGTCCGAAGAAACGAGGAATTTTAGAGTTGTGAAGGGTTATAGATTTATTAATATAATAATTAATAATATGGATAAGATATTTATTAATTATTAATTATATGAAACAAAGAAATAGTTTAAACTAAAGGGCCTAGTGACGAATCATAGCAAACGATCAAACGTGACAGTTTTAGATAGTTGTGTATCCGCTGCCGATTTTCTTTTTAAGGAACTTGCGGTGGCTACGATCCTTGCACGTCTCTCGATTTCGAACAGACGACTTCTGTAGAACGCGACCAATTCTGAAACCGCGAGGAAAGTTATACTTTCGAAAATAAATTCTCAAAATATTGTAACCGCCTCTGTACTTTTACCTAAATATTCAAAAATTTGAAAAGATTTTCAGTAATGTACGGGGTAGTCGTAAGTGAATTGTTTCAAAGGGAAAACTGGATAGAGTAAAATCGACATATATGACAAGGGCTCGATTTTATGTTTAAAAAAATTTTGGATTCGGATAAAAACAATATTTTTTTTTTTTGAATTTTCGGAGAAACGCTAGACAACGCTGCCTTAAAAAACTATCTACGTAAGTAGGTCGGTAATCCCAGGAAATTAAAACAGTTTTGAAGAAAAACGGACTTCGGTGAGTTTCCCTCCCTGGTTTTCCCTTCGTCTCCGAGAGTTTAGTATATACGATCGCTGATAGTTCGGGTAAGTCATTTAGAGAGAAAATTAAATTTAATTGCAACAAGTTGGACAAATGGAGTGGCCTACTTGGATTGATTCTACAATTCTCCGTTTTCTCACAAATGAATAAAACTTTCTTATTTTGTATGTCAATCATTGTCGGCTATGCCTGTGTTGACCCTTTTTGAGCAAAAAGCAGAAATATAGGGCATTTTTTGATTATGTAGGCCGTGTAGATTATTTTTAAAAAGACGTCACATCGAATCATTTAAATCCATTTAATAAACATTAAACCCTTCAAAAGATAAGGTTAATTTAAAATAACTTAAGTGAAAAACACGAAACCTAAGAGCCATTTATTATTTTAATTTTAATTTTAGATATTATTTTGAATATTTCATTTTACTATTTTTGGTTATTTAAAATGCAGATTTATAGTTATTTTAACCTAATAAACAAAACAAAACAAATATTAGAATACAAAATATGAAATTAAACCATTACATTAATTATATTTATATATTTATAAATTAATACAACGTTCTCATTTTATATTACAACCAGAGTTGGTTATGGTCTGGAAATTTTACGGAAATTAGTAAAAAAAATCATTTAAACTATTAGGAAGGTTTCAAAAAGCTAAAGCAGAATCAAAACCACATAACTGAATTGAATATAATTGGAAAAGTATTGTAAATTCCAAGCATATCCTACGGACACCAACTGACCCAACAAACGTAGGAAAAACTAAAGTTTTGATTGCTTAAAAAGAACATATATTCAAGTCAGATCGTACAAACACCAAGGGAATGCCAGTAGAAGAATACAATTTTGCAACTGATTATCGGAAAATGCAATGTTTAATTTAACATTGTCTATTGTTCAAAGTGATGAAGCTAGTATTGACTGTTGCGCTGTATCGCTGCAGCAGAGAAAATCCTCACGTAGTTTATCAAAATCGGCAAGGTCGCTTTGGATTCAATGCATGGGTAGGAATTTTCTGAGATAGAATTATGGGACCTTATTTTTTCTTACGAAAATCTGACAGTGGAATTAGTATTTATTATCCGCAAGATGATTGTCCCGCTCACAAAGCACGGAGTGTAAGTGAACTCTTAAATGAAGCTTTTGGACAATGTAACATGCAAGATCGTGTGATCCAACACCTCTAGATTTTTTATGAGGGAGATTGAAAGATCTTATACTTAAAAAGAGAATTTTCCAAACCAAAGCAGAGTTAGAGGAAGCCACTCGAGAAGCGTTTGCTTCCATCAATCCTGCAGAGTTAGTGAATAGCATTTCAGTACGAAAACTTGTATTGATTGTATAATTAGTGTAAAAGTTTAAATTTTTATTTTTTGTATTCTAATATTTACTGTGCTTTATTTTTTGAATTATTGAAATTTTCATATATAAAAGTTTAACAGCTACAACAGCTGATGGTAATATAAATATTTTGCGATCATGTGTTGTTCCACATTTGGAAGACTTGCAAGAGGTTGTGGCCTGCGAGATCGTGCGATCTAACCCCTCTGGATTTTTTTTTATATTTAAAGATAAAATTTTGCAAACCAAAGCGGTGTTAGACGAAGCCAATCGAGAAGCGTTTGCTTCCATAAATCCTATAGAGCTAGTGATTTGTAACCACTCAGGACGAAGAAGATGGCTCAGTGTATTGAATTTGAATTTGAACATTTTCGGTAAAATATTTTAATATAATTAATGCAAAAAGATGAAATTTCAGCATATTGTATTCTAATGTTTTTTATGTTTGGTTAATTAGGTTAAAATAACTATAATTTTTTATTCTGACTCATCAAAATAATATAATTAAATTTTAAAAATAATATGTACTGTTAAAATGAAAATATTAAATGGTGCTTGGGTTTCTTCTTTTCCAGTTATTTCCGCTTATTTAATTACAGATACCAACAAATCTATATTGCTGAAGAGGTCACGGCATTTCTTTAAGGCCAAAGCCATCTGTGATCGCCATATGAAATAAGAAAGCTGTATTCGTTTTATATGAAAACGAAGAACTCTCCAAAAAAAATTAGCCCTCCACTGCATTGGTCTTAAAAAAATGCCCTAAGAATATCTGCATTTCAATCAATCAATAATGATTTCCAGATGCTCTGTTGTGTTGTCATCTACCGTCATCTGACTTTCTATTGATGAGAACATCTAAAAATGAGAGATTATTATCATGGTAAATTAATCTACTGGAGAAACAATTATAAAAATATTAACCAGACATAAAGAACATGAAATAGTCTCTTAAGTTTACCGCAAATAAACTCATCAGTATTATATATATATATATATATATATATATATATATATATATATATATATATATATATATATATATATATATATATATATATATATAAACAAAAATTCTTGCAATCAAACAATTCTTCTGCCAAACCTGTAAACCTCCGCATACCTCAAACAGAATATAATGAGGTACACGGTAAAAAGTAAACCAGTTTCAGTTAGACTTTGAAGCAGTTAATAAGATCATTGGCGAAACATCAGCAAGTTCAACTGAAAGAATCCAGAAAATTTGTAAATAGCATTACAGTATTTTACTGAACTTTCTTTGAAGAATAGTCCCAGGAAAAGAAGAGTAATAGATTATTGATGCGGAAAAGAAAACCTTGCAGTACAGTACAACATAGTAAAAATTAACGCAGTTGGTGGTTAGTCGAAAAAAATGAGATTTTGTCCAATGTCATGGGTTTATGATATGCTGAAATCGGAATGCGGTCATGTGGTGACGAATGTGGACTAAACGATCTACATAGTCGGTTTAATGGAAGGTCAACTATTGATGCAGATAAGAAAATCTTGCAGTACAGCGCAACAAAGTAAAAATAAAGTCAGTTGAAATTGTGGTGGTTAATCCAAAAAGTAAGGTATTATTCATTGTCTATGAGTTATCGCTATACTGACTTGAGAATGCGATTATGCTATTTGGAATGTGGACTATATCTTCCAAGAAAAAGGGAGTGCCATTTGCACACTTGCAATACAGAACAAGGAAGTAGAAATAAAGACAATTAAAGTTCGAAATTCTTTTAGTTTCATTGTAAACATACCCGTATGTCCGTGATCAGTTGCCACGTCAAGAGGGCTTCGCTTGGTAACGTCGACCGAATCAATCTGAGATCCGTTCTGCAAAAGAAACTTGGCCAATGGCAGATATCCCGTTATGGAAGCTACGTGAAGTGCAGTGAACTTCGAAACTTCGCCGCGAATATTTATATCTGCTTCGAACTCCAGAAGAATATCGATCATAGCGATGTCGCCTTCGCATTTGCAGTTCAGCGCTAATTCTGAAACGATGCAGAGTACTAAACAGTATGGTGATTTTCTAACTTCAAGCAATTTTATTCTCAATGTTCGCTAGCTAACTAAAATGAATTGTATATTTGAGAGGCCGAAATACAGGGTATTATTGAAATGAATAATAATAATAATAATAATAATAATAATAATAATAATAATAGACTTTAGACTTTAGACTTTAGACTTTATTGGCCATTAAATACATTACAAGAACAACAAATGGCAAGTCACAATATCAAACACATTCTAATAACATTCATAGAGAGCAACATAATTATCAGATAGACAAACACCAAACATTGAAACAAAAATTAGGTAAAAAAAAAATAAGTAAATAAATAAATAAATAAATTCCCAATTAGTATTATGGAGACACTCGTGACGCAACACGGATGTACTCATCTGCAGTATAGAATGCGTTCTCCAATAGAAATTGTTTTATTATATTACAAAATTTAGTGAATGGCAGATCCTTGACAACGGTTGGTAGAACATTGTAGTAATTAATGTACAATTTATTTAACTCGGATGTGCGCAGCCTAGAATGGCCCTGGACAATTAATTCAGATCCCCTGGTGTAGTGATTGTGGCGATCACAGTGCTTAGGCATATCGTTCTTTAGCTCATGTATGAGAGTGACTGTATAGTAAATAAATAGTGATGGTAATGTCAAAATATTAAGCTTTCAGCGAGCAAGAGTTCAAGTTTTTCTACAAATATAGAAAAATTGCCTCTAGAGCCAGAGCGATAAACATTGATTAAAATAAGATTAAGCACTGGTATCTCCACACCACAAAACTCTGCGTGAAGATCCAGACAATATTTACTCAGATTAAGACTGCTACAGGCAATATTATTTTTAACATATATAGCAGTTCCTCCTCTGGAGGTACTTAGACGACAATAATATCCAACGAATTTATAATTGTGAACCTTAATAATATTAAGCAACTCCTCACCATTTACAAAATGTTCACAGAAACATACAATGTCAAAACCAATAGAATTTAGATATTCAGTAACCACATCGAGTTTACTTAGGAGACCCTGCACATTGTAGCTCAAGATATTAATGCTGTTCCCACCTCCATCGGTAGTCTTGGGTCGGGATTCTCCCTCACTAGACGTCTCTCTGTTGATACTGGAATTGGATCGGTTTTTTCTCTTATCAGACGCCTGGGGAAGAAATGATTTATTAACACACCCGTGGGCCAGATGGAAGTATCCAGAATTTTTTGCGCTTCGTGATCCATGGCCGATACCCTAAATGAGGAGTAACTCTCAGGAAACATTGATGGGACCTGGAACACTTCTACTCCACTAACTATCGGTGCTAGATATTGTCGGACCTCCTCAGCTTTGGTATTCGGATGCAGTTTAGTAATGTGAAAACTGATTTTACGTTCAGCAACTCGAAGTGCACATTTAGAGTTATCGCTAAGAGATCCTTTAAGCGGTTTGACTCTATCGTTTAGGACTGTGGAACTTTTGCGTTTGGACCCACCATCCAGTTCTATTATTTCAGAGCATATCTGACGTGACACAGACTCACTGACTGCACTAGATAGTTCTTTATTTGTAATTTTATTCGGGTGCTCCGACTTGGGGGCGTTTTGCTTAATTGGACCTGTCTGTGATGATTTAGCCCTATTTGCAGAATCCAGAGTTTGCCCTTTAAGGAGTCTGCTGCTTTTTAGTAGGCTCACCTGTTCTTTTAGAGCGGTAATGGCTATGGCTTGATTCTCGATAACAAGATCTTTTTGCTTCAAAAGTTCTTTTAAATACATGATTTCTTTTGCGGCATCAAATGGAGCGTTTGCTCCCGAATCATCAGGAATTGGACCCGACTCCAAGGATTCGCCTCCGTAGGAACAGCAATAAATCTTGTTGCCTCCTAAAATTTTCGTGTTTTTCATGATTTTCACGCACGATTTATGCGATATCGTGCCGCACTTGATACACAATAGACCAGTACCTGCCACGCTCTTACACCTTTTACAAGGTTTAGCGTTGCTTTGATCAGCCATAAATAATAATAATAATAATAATAATAATGATAATAACAATAATAATAATAATAATAATAATAATAATAATAATAATAATAATAATAATAATAATAATAATAATAATAATAATAATAATAATAATAATAATAATAATAATAATAATAGTAATAATGATAATAATAATAATAATAATAATAATAATAATAATAGAGAACTAGGAAAAACTCGGAATTTTGTGCGCGAAATAGGCTAACTAAGAGAATAATGACGAATGAAGTCCGAAAATTGATTGCATCCGCAAACAAATTTATAAACGAGTGGTTAAACAAAAATCAGGTAGACCTGCTAGACATCGATTCACTGGTGGATGCCACAGTAGTAACAATAACAGAAAATGTACTGGGAAAATCTACAAAAACAAAAAAGAGACAAGGATATACGCGCGTGAGCTGAAAAGAAAGATGAAAAGATAGAATACAAAAACTGTGTCGGGATTTCTCAAGAACATCTGAGATTAAAGATATTAATGTCCGATGTAAGATAGAAACCAGTAGACTGAAAGAAACACAATACATACAAAACTAACACAAAGAGTAGCGGCACTGAGACAAAGACTACAACGATACACAAGGATAGAGAAACAATATGCGCAAAATCTTTACTTCCGATAGTAAGAAATTCTACAGATCCTTAAATGAAAAAGAGATCAAGGGGACAGAATTTCCGCAACTAACCGAGCTTAGAACGTTTTGGGAAGGCCTATGGAGTCACCCGGTAAAAGACCACGAGGATGCCGAGTGGATACCGCGCTTCGAACGGAGGTACAAAAACAAAAGAATGACGTGGCAAAAAATAAGTACAAATGAAGTTACAGAAGCTCTTCGAGAAGCCGCTAACTGGAAGGCTCCAGGGCCTGACATGATCCCCAACTTTTGGCTAAAAAACCTGATATCGGTCCAATCTGCGCTGGCAGACAAATATAACAAAATAGTAGAATCTAATGCATTTCCTAAATGGCTCACCACTGGTAGGACGTTCTTGCCAGCTAAGAACGAAAACACGAAGGACGTAAAAAACTACAGGCCCATTACCTGCCTATGCACCATTTACAAAAATTTTATAAGCTTTTTGACAATTTGACTTCAAGAGTTTTTGGATACGAATGCAATACTACCCTTAGAGCAAAAAGGCTGCTGCAGAGCGTCTAAAGGTTGCAAGGACCAGTTATTACTGTCAAAGTATATCCTGGAAGAATGCAAACAAAGGAAATGCAATCTGATTCTAGCGTGGGTGGACTACAGAAAAGCTTTTGATGAAGGACTGGAACACAAACGTCTACTTAAACATCTTCCTTGAAATCATAATGGTACCCAACATACGCATACATAGGGGAATATTTCAAGGAGATTTCTTATCACAGCTCTTATTTTGTATATCACTTATACCACTTAACGTACTAAAAGCGGGTTTTGTTATGAAGAGCATACAAATAGATCACTTATTATATGTGGACGATCTGAAGGTCATTGGGAAAAACGAAGCAGTGCTAGAGAATCAACTCACGATGATCAAGAAATTTAGCGACAGCATTCGCATGGAATTTGGTATAGAGAAGTGTACCAAAGCGGTATTCAAGAAGGGAAAATTACAAACTAAAGATAACACCAGAGAGAGTCAGTTTAATTTTCGTCAGCTAGAAGGGGAAAGAAACTATAAATATTTAGGCATAGAAGAAGGAGAGACAATAAACCAGCAAAACATAAAGAACCAACTGATCAACGAATACCGAAAACGCATTCGACAGATTTTGAAATTGAGCAGCAAAAATAAAATCAGTGCCATAGGACAGTTCGCCTTACCCGTTCTTCAATTTAGTTTTGGAATTATTGACTTTAGATTAGAGAAAATACGAAATCTAGATAGAGGAACCAGAAAACTTCTTAATATGTACGGAATGCAACACCCAAAAGCTGACATACACAGATTATATGTATCGAGGAAGCAAGGGGGACGAGACCGGTTGCAAATAGAAGCGGCTTTCAAGTCGGCTATACTCAATTTAGAAGAATATCTAATCATAAGAACAACAGACAAATATGTAAATCTACTAAGAGTATATGACGAAGAACTGCTTAAGACAAAAGAGAAAAATAGAAAAGAAAAATAAAAGAGAAATTATCTAGAAATCTGATCAAGATCGATATTACTCAAAAAAGGAAAAGAAGGCTAGAGACTCGAAGTGTCGGTTATGCAATAACTACGATGAACCAGTGGCTGTCCTATGCTAGCAAAAAATTAATGCATAAAGAGACATGATAATGTAGCTAAATTGTTGCACTTCAAAATATGCCAAAATTTTCACATTAGCACCACCAGAAATTGGTATAATCACAGAGCCGAGCATGACACAAGCAAGGAAGATGTTACAATACTGTGGAATCGACAAAATCAAACTTATGTATGACAGTTGATGTTGCAATTCCAGCTGATAACAATGTTGTGGCGAAAGAAGCAGAAAAATTACTTAAATTACTTAAATGCAGGAACCAGGAAGTTATGTAATTCCTGAAATTATGATATCTGCAGTAGATCACCAGCAACAACGCAAAAATTACCAAAAGTAATAATACAAGAATCGCGGCCATAACGTTTTGAATCTTTTAAAGCACACAGTAAATTCGAGATTCAGAAAAATGTATAACATTACTGGTTAAATGTCCATTGCAAGCAATAATACACTTTTCCATATTCCATATTACCACAAAATATCTACTTTTTGAAGTAAAGATTGTATTGGCACACGAGCTTTTTCTGCAAAATGTTGAGCTGAAAGAAGATTATTTGTTCTTAAAATAGGCTCTTCTGATGTAACTGATCTTTTTGGAGTAATAATTTTGATGATCCCCATGATGTGAAGCGTATTAGGACCGTCCAAAGTATGTACATTACGTAAAATATGAATTTTCTAATAGTTGAAACCGCGATATTTTACGAATGGTAAGTCGTAAGAAAAAAGTACCTGAACAATTTTTGTAGAGAACTGTATGATCCACAACTTTTGTCAGACCTGTTTCCACGATAAAACTTGCCGTCTTCGAGAAAAATTGAAAAAGCCTCAATTTTGTACGTTTGACCTTGAACAAAATTTTGGAATGGAAGGGAATTTTTGACATTTCATGTATAATGGTGTTTTTAACTTCTCTGACAATTTTTACCTCTATGTGAAATGTTTATTTTTACTGCATTATAGATAATTGATATTTGTTTACTCCCATATATTTGGTACATTTTATTTTGTCCGTTCAGATAAATACGCCACTGAATCAAGTTGCCATAATCTCTGCATAACGAAATAATACAATCTACTTAAGTACATGGAATGTTTTGCGAATGACTGTGATGGCGGATTTGGACCAAAAACACTTACCTGTTCATTTCAAAAATAAATTTCCGATTTGTTCATGAAAAGAGATAATTATGACGTATTCGACACGAAAAACGGAACTTGATATCTACATCTTCTTTTTGATCCATAATGTATAATTGCATGGTTATTAAATTAATTTGGTCCATATTTCAGCCGTTCATTGTATGAAAATACAAGAACCAAAACCTCTAGCTACAACCCGTCGGAAATAATTGCGTTTGGGCTTCAATCTCTTTACCTAACAACAACGGATAAGGTTTGATGGTCCTGAAGTCTGGATTCGCTCCCCACTTAAGCAATCGCCTGGCGACTTGCACGTCGGGAGACTCCAACATGCACCAACATAACGGAGTATTACCGAAAGCGTCTTCCACGTTCGGATTGGCGCGATGCAAAAGCAGGCCGGTAATCATCTCCAAAGATTTTTGGTACGAAGCCAAGTGTAACGGCGTTCTACCTAAAACCGGCCAATGTATCGACGAACTTCACTTAATTGGTGTTTCAAAAGATACTCGCCGAAATGGTTTGCCTTATTAACGTCCGCTCCGTACTTTAAAAGAAGACGGACGAAATTCATAGCGTCGGCGCGAATCGCCACCATCAACGCGGTATCTCCGGAAGGGGTGGTACAGTTTTTATCGATACCTTTTGCTTGAAGTAGCAACTTTCCTGAAACACGTTATGGTCAGACAGACACACAGAATGAAATAAATCGTTCATCTTGTTTCCACTTGTGCTTCGAGATATATTGTTCCGCCCTTAATATCTATCTGATTAATGAAAGACAGCCGTCACTAACGATCACGATATATATTTTTTTTAAGCTACCCAATAAAATTTTCGTACGTACTACGCAATAAACAATCACTTGAGAGCCAGATATTTTCTTAAAATATCGATTAGAACGTCATTTGTTATAAACATGGTTTTGGGGAGCAGTAATATATTAAGAAATATGTTTCCGGCATTTCTCGGTTAACCGTGCATTCTAGTGTTGCGGGCTATTGTTTGCATTACGTGAAATTGCGAAGACTTAAAAGCGAGTGTTCTCACGAGTACAGTAGTTGAATTGCGTTATGGTTTCGTTTTATGCCCAAAATACCAAAGTGCCAAATGATTTATCTATCGGTTTCATTTTTAATTTATAAAATAAACCCAAGGAATTTGGTTCAATATTTGTGTGTTTGCTCTTTGGACTATTTTAAACGATGTTACTGTGTTGGTTGAAAGTCGGGGCTACTGTCGCGTTTCTCTGCCCTTCAGTGCCGGTGTGGTTATTTGCTGCAGGATACTTCGTGTGGTTCTGCCCTTAGTATCCATTGCTCCATTGGACGATCGGAATAATCAGCACTAGTGACTGACGTGTGTCCTGCCCTTCAGTATATTATGACTTGTTGTTTATTGCACTGTCGCGTGTTGCTGTCTTTCAGTGCAAGATCTTCTCCACGCCCTCGATGGAACTTCAGCAAGGCCGATTGGGCAGCCTATGCTGCGGACTTGGACAAATATGTCAGATGGATCCCACCTACTCCCGGGAATTACCGCCGATTTGTCGGAGCGGTGGTTGCAGTGGGTAAGAAGCACATACCAAGAAGTTACCTGAAAGAATACATTCCGGGGTGGACGGAGGAAAGCGATAGACTATACAAGGAATTTATGGAATCTGGCGACACGGAATTAGCCGACGAACTAATCGAGAGCCTAAACAATGGAAGATCACAGAAATGGCGGGAGACCGTGGAGGAGATGGACTTTAAACATTCCAGCCGCAAGGCCTGGTCCCTCTTAAGGAAACTTGGTGGCAGCACCAGCATCACTAAACCCAAGGAAAGAATCTCGCTCAACAATATCGCCGAACACATAGACCACACATCCAGAGCTCCATCAGTTAAGGAACACTCTCTCCGCGTAAAGAGGAAGACTGTCTCTGCCAACCCGCCTCCTGCTCAGTTCACTATGGATGAAATATACGATACTATCGGAAGTCTAAAGACAGGGAAGGCCCCAGGCTTTGACGGAATGCACAATGAGTTCCTTGTCAATACCGGCCCAAATGCCAGAAAATGGCTACAAAGATTTTTCAGCAGTATCTTGCAACCGGGAACTCTCCCTTCCGAGTTCAAAATAACAAAAATTATTGCACTCCTAAAACCGGGGAAACCGGATCATCTTCCAAGTAGCTACCGCCCCATCGCGCTACTTAGTGCGACGTACAAGATGCTGGAACGACTTTTATATAACAGAATAAGCCAGACAGTTCTGAATAACGTCCCAGTCGAGCAAGCTGGCTTCCGCCCGAGTCGCAGCTGCTGTGACCAAGTCCTTGCCCTTACCAATTACATCGAGAAGGGATTCCAAGAGGGATTGAAAACTTCAGTGGTCTTCGCGGACCTTACAGCAGCCTACGACACTGTGTAGAGAGAGGGGGTGCTAATGAAACTACTAACTGCCACTCGATGCAGCAGGACGACCAGCCTTATTAATAATATGCTCGCTAACAGACAGTTTGTCGTGAACAAGGACGATCAATACAGCACAAAAAAAACACTCAACAACGGGTTGCCCCAGGGATCTGTGCTGGCCCCTCTACTATTTAAAATGTATATTGCGGATCTGCCTTACACCATATCCAAGAAATTCGGATGACCTTGCGATTGCCGTTCAACACAAGCACATTACCGCAACAGAAGATATTTTAACAAATGATCTGTCCAGACTGGCAGTCTATTTTCGAGAATGGAGATTGAAACCTAGTATGAGCAAAACTGAGTCTTGCTGTTTCGACCTTAACAACAAAATGGCCAACGTAGGACTCAGTATATATTTCGACGGTGCACTCCTCCACCATAATTCAACCCCTAAATATCTTGGTGTCACCTTGGATCGGACTCTAACATACAAAAAACACCTCACCAACACGGCTGCAAAACTGAAAACGAGAAATAATATCCTACATAAACTTGCAGGAACTACATGGGGTGCTGCTGCAGACACCCTGAGAACTTCAGCCCTCAGCCTCGTCTACTCTGTAGCAGAGTACTGCGCGCCCGTATGGATCAACAGCAGCCACACCAAACTAGTGGATGTACAACTAAACGACTCAATGCGCACCATTTCGGGCACCATAAAATCAATACCGTTGTACTGGCTACCCGCCCTAAGCCATATCGAGCCACCGGACCTTCGCCGCTCCCATGCCCTGCTCCGAGAATGCAACAAAATAATAAGCAATCCGGATCTTCCCATAAACGAAGACTTCCCAGCTGGGAGACAACGCCTGAAATCGAGGCACTTGCCTATTGCCACGGCTATCGATCTTGCAAACTCACATTTCAATGTTAAAGAAAGCTGACAACAAAGGTGGCTCCAGGCCGCGCCCCCTGAATGGCACCAGGTTGTTAATGTGAACAAGCCACCAAGTGGCTTCGACTTGCCCCGTAACACTTGGTCGCACGGGCGACGGGCGCTGCGGTGATTCACTTTTCAAATGGGGAATAAAGCAGTTTCCTCAATGTGACTGCCAAGATGGTATCGCGCATACCCCGGCCCCCTCTCAGACTTTGTTGGACTCCCTAAAGAGGCTATCCAATGGCTGGATGGACTGGACATCGCTCTCTGAAATTATTTGTTCTATTTGTTCTATTTTTATGTCTATATTGGATAATTCGTGTGTCTCTGCCCTTAGTATCAATTGCACGATCGGAATAATCAGCACTAGTGATTGAAATAGGTACTACGTGTGTTCCGCCCTTAGTACCAACCTAAACTCAGTTCCAGGTTTTATGGGATTACAAAATATATCTGTTTTCTGTGTTTTATTAAGTTTGTTTTATGAATCTTAATAATTTTTGGTACTCAGGTTGTTATTTTAGTTTCAGATGCGAACCGTGTCACCTCGCTGACGTACTGATCACCTTTCGTTTTGACCCAAATACTTAATTAAAAATAAATAGTCTTACACATTTTTAAATTAAAATTTTATTGTTATGGTTATACCCTCTTACACGATTATGTTATTTGGAAGTAAGAGAGAATCAGTAGTACTTGGTGTTTGTTAAGTACGCCCATACTCATAGATCGATTCATGTATTTTTTATGTAATAATTGAGAATTGACCGGAAGGGTTTGAAAATATTTTCAAAAAGAAGTAGGGAAGAACAGGGCTAGTTGTCGCTTATCAATTTTTAAACATTTTACTAGACTCGTCAACGTTATTTTGATATTATTGATATTGAGAATTGGTACAATTTGGCTTCCTATTGATCATATTTGCTTAAGCCCAAGTTTATTTTACCAATAATAAAAAAATGTTTACTGGTATTAGTCCTTTTGGATCAAATTGTGGTTATGACAGCATGCCCCACATATTTTTAACTTTTTCATGTCATTAGAAAAACTGAAACCGGTGAGGTCGAAGCTCTGTGGTTTAGGACTACAACATAGCTATTTTGTACAAAAGTCACACTAGAAGAAGTCTTTGAGCAACAACCATCCACTGTAAATGTAGGGCATGTTGGGCATCGCTTAGTTTTTAATACATAGTCGGAGGAGCAACTGGAATCAACGACATTTATTTTGGCTTAACCCCAAAAAGTGTTAGAAAAGTAGCCCTTGACTATTCTCAATAATATTTTTAAAAAGGCGACCTACCCTTTCAATCCGAACCCCAGAATCCACGAGTTTGGCAAGGTGTTCAACTTTTAATAGAACGAATGTTAACAGATTTTTTGACAATTTCCGTTTAGTTCTAGACTGATTGAAGCTGGAAACACAAAAATATCACCGATTTACCGCCACAAGCTATAGAATCCCATTTTGCAGAGAAAATCGTTAGTCCTGTATCAACTTCAAAATCCGCAAGTTGTTCAGGCACTTGAACTCTTTCTTATAGAAAAACTACAGATCAATCTCCTTCGGACTCTAGTTTTCAGTCCGAATCAAAATGTTCTGGTTTTTTAACTACTCCCTGCAGTAAGATTAAAATTATAATATAAAATAAAGCAGCTCCAAAAGAAGTCAGGCAGACTAAGAGAAGTCAAGTAAAAACTGTCATTGTAACATTCCAGCAAAAAAAAACGAAATAGAAGAGCAGGAGGCAGAAAGATCTGGAAGGACAAAAGAAGTAACAAGGAAATAAAGCAACGAAATGGAAATGTCATCAGCTCTGATGAGACGGATGAAGATGACTGTTTCTGTTTAATATGCTCAGATAGTTACAAAAATACGTACCAATGGTGGATAAGATGCAGTGCGTGCAAAATATCCCCATTATATCTGTGTAAACTGCAACTCAGATGACGATTTTTAAATCCTTTTTAAATATATGTGAAACGATGCTCTTTAATAACCTATTTATTAAGTATATCTAATGTTTAACTCTTGCTGTTCTAAAAGTTCACGTTAAATTTTGGCTATTCGAGAAATAAAAAATGCGTTATTATTTGGCTTTGTTGTTGTTGGACAATTTGCCCCATACCCTGTACCTGACAATTAACTCGACCTATAAATGAGACCTCAGCCTTCAATGAACTGATTGGGTGAATAACCCTGTATGTATCTAAAATTGTTTAAGTTTACCTGCAAGGAAATAATCTTTTTCCGCGGCTATGTGCAAAGCCGTATGACCGTCTTCAGTACGGACATTTGGATTTACACCGGCTTTTAACAATTGTTCAAGTTGGTCCAAGTTGCCTAGCACGACCGCTGCTAGGAATGCAATTTCCGCCGATTTCGTGTCTATTTATATCGGTGTTTGTATAAGTTACCATTTTGTAATCAAAAAAATCGGTTGCTTACTCTTTCGCGAACGAATTATGTGGCTGCTGACTGCTTTGAACATTTTATTCACTTCCTGGCAATATAAACTTTGTTGAATTAAAAAGTGCCTATTTCAGCAATATAAAAGTACGAAGTGGCAGCTATATGAGTTAGATAGTTAAAACTGAAATGTCATGAAATTTTGACAGACAATACTTAGTGAGGTTAGGAATGTGGTCTACCCTAAGACAATTAGATCTGGTAATTTCTAACAAGCCTGATATTCCTCCTCAACTGATTAATGTAGATGTTATCAATGATTACTTTGTCAACTATATTTCAAAGCTCCTACCAAATCGTGAGATAAAAGTGTTCATGGTCATGACTTTTCTAGCTTTTCATAAAAAAAAAAGTATTATTTGTCATATTGCATTACCTTGCGCTATTCCTTGATAATAATTTAGTGGAAAAGAAGAAACGGTGTAACAAAGGCACATTTTAAATGGGGAACACACGATATATGGCCCACCAAAAGAAAGAAAAACAAACTAAAAGAAACAATGCGAAAAAAACGACGTGCTGAGAGCAGCGTTTTCGGCGATGGATCGGGAGAATACTTCCGGAGCTCATAAGGTACTAAATGAGTTGGAAAGTTATAGGACCAAACAATGATTTTTTTTCGGAAAGGAAAAGGTAACAACTTTAGGAATGGTAATGCAGAGTTTATTCGTAGAGAAATTGTATCAGCGTAATCGGATTAATCAATTTCTCGAGAGAAAAAAGTAATGTTATTATTTAGACGAGACTTGCTTATGACACTATGAAGAAAGGATCGCAAAATTCTTCATCTAACCGCATTTTGAATGCACCCCTATCTAGAGGAAAATGAATATCCATTTTGCAGTGGCTTTGCTACTTTTAGCAAAACCAAAACTTCATTACGACATGACAAGTTAACTTTTTGAAAATTGTCATAAACTTCTCTACAGAGAAATCGCAATCTTCTAACGAACGGAAGAAGATACGAATTCTGCCGCTATCCAGAATCCCTAATCATGCTACAGTTGAGAAGGGGTATAAGTATTCTGCCAACATTTTCAACGGTCTTAGAGAAAATCACTGAAAGACGGCTGGTTAGCTACTTAAATAAATTTATTCTAATTCCTTAAAAGCAATCAGGATTTAGACCTAATTACCTTTGTCAATCTTTACATTGCGATTCATTAATCTTATCTGGAAAGGCGTATTGTGATGTTGCCTATGGTCCCTGCTTAACAGTCCATGACAAATACAGAACAAAAAAGCTACTTGACTACGCTTGATCTGTGGCATTTTAAAATCTCGACATACTCACTTTTCAGTTCAAAAGAAGTGTTTTTTTAATACGATTGCACTAAAGACGTCACAATATCTATATAATAATAGAATCAGCTTTCGCACTGATTAACATAATATACATATTAGGTATAAAGCTAACCCTTACGCCTCCTGCTCATTCATGAATTTAATACATTAAAAATTAAATACGCTTTCAACAGGTGTATCAATTTTTGTTTTCATAACAATATTCCTCTTGTTTGAACTGCTGGTGTTTAGCAAATTAGTACGTTAAAACGTTAAATAAAGATGGAGCATGTTTCCAATAAAAATTTCCCTCTGTCTCAGTTGCAAAATTAAAGGAAGGGATTATTATAATTCCACAAATAAGGCGATTAATCGAAAATCAACACTTTGTGAATAGAATCTGAAAAAGTTGCATGGGTTTTATTTACTGATATTATAAAAGGTTTTCTAAATTACAAAGACTTTCTAGAAAAGATGTTAGAGAAACTTAGCGAAATGGCATGTAATGAGTATAAAACTACCCTTTTTACAATCACATTTGGCCTACTTATCAGTTTTTTCCAGAAGTTTTTCCAGCAGGAGGGTCAAAAATAAGTGGACTATTGTTTGAGATCTTGTTATTTAATTCGGTTTTTTAATGAAAATAATGAATTTAATTTAATTTTTAAAAGTTTAGGAATTGCTGGCCTGTGAAATTAAATATATCCCTGTGTGGCTTAAATATCTATTGGGTAACTCTATAGTTCCTTTGGATACCTAATGAGATTGTTCCTGGCAGTTTATACATCTGAAATTGTTGTATGGCGTCGACACATCCGACATTTCTCAAATCGAATTGAAAAATAAAAAACAACCGCAATGTGCGATATACGTTTGACCTTTCCAACGGACTATCGTTTATATATGACAACGTACTTCGAGAACTCGTTGAAAACATAAAGGGTAAAGTCAAAGTTCAAATCCTTCCTAAGCGTCGGTATTGTGATAATGCTGGTTCGTTATCGTGCGGTGAAATGCGCATGAAAATATTTAAAAAGGCTGGCTACTTAATTTTAACCAAGAAGGTTTTCAAGCTTCAATAGTGGACAGTATTTGTTTTCTCAACTTGCATGGTGACTCGTGATTGTACCCAAAACTTTTGTTTGTACCCAAGCTAGACGAAACAAACTATATCAAGGGAAAAGAATGCCTTTTTACAAGGAGGCAAAAATATAAACAAAGTTCAGACATATTACAATATCTTAACTTTCGAAACCCAATAATACAACCGTACCTCAAAAGTCGAAAACGTAGATCAAACTAATATGAATTTTATAATCCACACAATAAACAAGAAGTTTGCTATTATTTCTGAAACAGAAGTTCTACAAACCATATTAAAAATCAATAGTTATTGGGGTCGGAATTTAGGGCATTTTATGGACGCCATTTATTCGATAGTGCATTACATATTTAATTCATTTTTGTTTAAAAAACTCCAGTCATTTAGAAAATTCAACACTCCGGAATGACACAACCCATACTCTTTTAATTAATATAAACCTTAAGCAATATCATATTATCAATGTTCATCAATCGAGCTTTCGCAAGCATAGTTGGTTAACGGCAGTCACGATAATAGTGGACAAGAATAAAATAACAGTTTTAATTACTATTTACTATTATTCCAAGAAACTTCAACATGCTACTGAAATACTGTTTACAAATCTTCTGCAATTTGTTACATGCAAGAATGTTAGTTTTATCGAATAAAATTTGATTGATTGAGTTTATTTATCTTGATCTTTCATGTTCTTTAAGTTTAATTGATATTTGTCGTCCGGTCTCTCCAATGTATTCTTTGCCGCATATGCATGGAATGCTGTAAACTCCTGGTATCTCAAAGGGGATTTTGTTTATGATGGATCGAAGATTTTTGGTTGATATGTTTGGTCCTGTTTTTCCAATGTATTCTGTATTCTGCTCAAACCGAATTTTTGTCTTTGACGATCGAAGATGTTGAGAGATTTTGGACAAGTGTTAAATCTGGTTTTGACGTTATATTTCTTAATTACTTTTGATATGTGGTCAGTGATGCTTTGAATCTAAGGAATGACAACAGTGGTAAATTGTGGATTCGTTGTCGTTAGAAGATTGTGGTAAAAAGAGAAAAGAGCAGATGGAGGGTGCTTTAAACAAGGGTTCAGTGACTGGGGTAATGTAAAAATGCATTAAAGTATCGGTGTGGGTGTTCGGGTTTTTTTGCAAACAGAATGATGAAATGTTAGGTCTAATTTTCTATTGATAAGAGCGTCTAATAATTAATTTTAATTTTGGTTTTATCCAAGGAGAAAAATATGTTCCAGACAAGCATTTTTCAATTAAGACGAGAAGGTTTGTTTCCAGAGTCTCAGATTTTAGTATATCTGAAATAGGGGCTTTAGTAAAGAAGGATTCTACGTCAAAACTAACCAGGATATGCTGTGGTTCGAATGTCATGGTTTTTAATACTTCAATGAAAGGGAAACTATCAGCTTTCCTTGTAAAGGGTTTAATATTGAAGCTAGATATTTCGCTAGAGAATATGTTGGCGAATCAGTGGTGTTGACAATAGGTCAAATGAGTAATCTCGGTTTGTGAACCTTGGGGAGTCAGTAGACTTTTTCAGGGATTCTGATAGAGAAGAAGTCTTAATAACACATTTATGGTTCCTCCTGTAAGAATATCTTAAATATTTTTCTGATATTCGCTAGCGTTCATGATCACCATTTTATCTTTTTTATCTGTTTATAGAATTACAATATCTTGATTAAATTTTAGACATTTATAGCAATGCGTTCAGGCTTTAGATCTAATAGGTTTGGATTTTTATTTTATTAGCTGTTTTAAATGGCGGTTTGTTTAGGATAGAGTCGACATGTCAAATGATTTCCTCTTTTGAGATAATACGTGGGGCAAAGATGAAGTTGGAACCGTTTGTAAGAACTGATTTTTCAGTTGGTGCGATGATACATAGTAGTTGAGAAGAATACGATGGTTTGACTAGTGTTGAGGCTTGTTTCTCAAATTCTTGAACGTGATTCTGGGTAGAAGATCAACGAAGATTTTCAGATTTCTCATGAATCATGTTTGAAAGGGTATCGAACTCGGATGTAGACAAGATGGAGGCAAATTAAAGATGTAGAGGCGGAAGAGTCTTATTGATTGGGTCAATTTTTTTTTGGATATGATGAATTCTTTCTCGAAATAAAGCAAAACCAGATTTACGAAGAATTTTATAAGGAAATAGGTTTTGACACGATTGATATTTTAAGAACATTGGTCCTGATTTTATGGTCCCTGCAAAGTAACAAAAAAAACAGTGTCTAGTTTAGGTCGGTGATCCTCTATCTCTGGATTCCTCCTGGATCGGTTATTGTTGAATCGAATTTGCAGACGTTTCGCCAGTCATGCTGTTGGCTTCTTCAGAGCACAACCTAAACTGGCTCTCTGGCTACTCTGTAACTGCTTACACAACAACGGTTTTGCATTCAGAGTTTGGAATATTAGGTTTAGGAGATTTGAATGTTTTAAGCATGTTTCCAATCGAATTTAATTAGCTGTTTAAGATGGTAATTTGTTCAGGATAGATTCGACAATTGAAACGATTTTCTCTTTTAAGATAATACGTAGAGCAAGGACAAAGTTGGAGCTTTTTCAAGAATTAATGATGATGATTATTATTATTTAAATAATTATGTTGTTTAGTTCCATTAACCACATTGAAAATGTAACTCAACTCAACTCACTCAACTCTCCGTTTAAACTTCATGGATATGGACTCTTACTGTTCGTTTGGGGCCGGGGTAAAAACTATCATTAGCATTTTAGCGTCCGGTTTGGGCAGCCAAATAACATGCAATTTTATATTACTTATCATTTATTGTATTCAACAATAAACCTACAATATCACACATAGTACAATATCACAAGTACTTAACGTGTTTCGTTACACAGCAAAGACACCTCTCCAAAAAGTATACATATATATACATATAAATATATAAATATGGGCTTCAGAAAGGGGCGAACTACTATACGGCAAACACTTTTTGCTGAGTTTCTCGACACTCAGTCCGGTACAAATCGAAGGAACGTATCGCCGTTTGGAAAAAAAAAAACGACACTTTCACTCTAGAGGTGATTCAAGTTGGTCAGGTAGTGCATGCTGCAGTTGCAGCCGTGCGAGGCCCCTCTCCGTTTCGGTATCCTCTGCGTAGGCAACCCGGAAAGTCCCTTCACGTATATGTACGTCACTGGCGGCCGTAGGATACTTTTCGGTTTCGACTTTTTGCCGGCCTTCTTGTCCAGCTCTTTCCCGCTGTTACAGTTCTGCGATCGCCTGTAGATGTTCAAATTTTGAAATATCCTCTTGAGGTTCTCGACCGACGTGTAGGATCGGGGCTGGGTGTCGGTATCGGACTCGGAAGTGGACCCGGAAATCGGCGAAACGCTTCTCGATCTGCTGTGGTGGTCTTTGATGTCGTCCGTCCACACGGACCCGCTCGAACTCGAAGCGCTGCCACATACCTGAAATAATGATGCGCGATTATGAACGATGTAATCGAGATATTTCGATTACAGTTCTATAAGCGAGACACGATACAAGCTATTTTTTTCCCCAATCTGTGCCCGTAAATCAGCGCAAACCGTTTATTTCTATAAACATATTGGTTTAACTTCTATGGAAAATGTCAATAAAGTCGAATTCACGAAATGTGACTATAGAACCATTTTTAAATCTTTTAAATTAACTTGTACATAAGGCAACACTTACCCGTATATAGGCACATAGTTTTAACCACAAACAAAAAATTTTTCACAAAAACGCGAAAAAGGTACGGAGAGAATCATAACCACCAAAAACGTAATCAACAATAGCACAGATTGTTACTATTCTCTGGCAATAGCAGTACCTAGTTCGGCGTTGCCAATTATATTCGGATTTCAGAGAGCGATTTTGCATTCTTATGAAAATTAGTCAATTTTTTCAGAAAAATTACGGAAATGTGGCAACTTAGTCGTTGGAGGTGACGCTGGCGCAAAAGATCCACACCTGCTCTACGAAAATATCATAGCCGCCTGCGGCGCATCACTTTTTACCGAGTAGAGCCACTATATTATCTTATGGTTGCACCCATATAGCTATAAGGTACCTTACTACTGTAAAAATTGACGCGCCACAGGTGACTATGATATTTTCGTAGAGAAGGTATCGATCTTCTGCGCATGCGTCGTCCTCCAACGGACTAAGTTGCTAAATTGCCGTAATTACTATTGCCACATTGTGCCATTGTGGTTTACATTTTTGGTGCGTACTATTTTCCTGTTTTTGCGATGCCCACCCACTGGAAAACTTGTGTTTGTGGTCAGAACTGTAAGGAAAAGAATGTGCCTATACACCGGTAAGATTTAGAGGTAGTTTATATAAGACTCCCACCCACAAACGCGTATAATTTGTGCTTTCAGGAAATTACAGCTAATGTGGCAAATATGAGGTCCTGATACGATCTTAGAAAAACACGCCTACACAAATATTTACCTGTGAATTTACTAAACAGAAATCCCTACATTTTTACTAGAACAAGCATAAGGAACTACAAATCCTTTTAATTGGTCAAAAAACTACAGAAAGTGTGGAGTTACCAAGGTCAGTTCAGCTGCAACAAGAAGAATTAAAAGTATATATCTGCAGGAAACTTTTGATATTTACCAGGAATTTTAGGCAGCCATTCAAAATTTGGGGTATTGCATTAACAGATCAGATAGGAAAGTGAATATTGCAGTACATACAAACATAATTTGACACTGATTAAATAGAAACAGGTGCTGTCAAAAAATACTGATTTTTTACATCTGCTTGTTGGATTCGGGACAAATAAAATAGGTATGCACAAATTGGCAAGAAGAGATCTTAATTACTTTCAAACCATTTTCTCAGCCCTTGCTTCGTTTGGGACTGAACTATGTCCTTCACTTGTAAGTATCATCTTATGTAAATAACTATTTAGTTCAACTTTTTGTCTGTTTTCTATTTTTGATGTAATTATCACTTATCCAGATAGTGTAATTCAATTTACATTGTCAGGAAACACTGAATAACATTCTTTGTCGAAAATAGAGCTGCCAGGTAGCCTGATAACTTTGGACGAGCATCCATATGTGGAGATCACATCACTCCTCTATCTATCTATAATTTAGTCCCTTTCTACCCGTAGGGTGTAAGGGTGACATTTCTGCATGCAATTTAGCTATCGATAAAAAGTTTCCAGTCGTTTCTATTTAGTGCCAAGTTTTTAGCTTCTACCCATGTTCGTCCCCTCTTTTTCAAAATCTTTCCCAATGTGCTGTCCCATGTTTCCCTGGCTCTTCCTCTTTTCCGTTTTCCCTGCGTTTTGCTCTGCCAAACTCTTTAATCACTCCTCTAAACTATAGGAAAGGTGGTAAACGCTTGATAAAGTAGGTAGTTCAGTGTCTTTCAGGTAAATATTGTTATCAGTTGTGCATCGGGTTACTTGTTTTCTGGTCATTTTAGTTGTCGATGGTACTGGACAGTCCTCATTTAGAGTGCCAAATGGTACTTTTTTTTGTAAAACTTTTATACTAGTGGATGGATACAAGACTAAAAATTCGTAATTTCTCCAAGACACTTTCAGAAATAGGCTAAAGTATCAGTTAATAACAATCAATGCTCGACAATCAATCTTATCTTATTTCCATTCAGGCTCTAGGGTTTTGCAAAGAGTTTCGCCGCATTGTTGTCACAAACTACAACCCTTGGATCGTTCTTTATATGGACCTTTAAAGAAAGGTATTAATACTGCTAGCGAAAATTGAATGAAAAACAATCCGGGAAAAACTGTGACTATATACAATATATCAGAACTTATTAAGATTGCTTTGTAACGGGTACTCACTCCATCAAATATACACGCCGGATTTACATTTGAGGTACAGGAATGTATCCTTTTAATAAGGATATATTCACTGAAATAGATGTTGTCCCATCATACGTTACAGACTAACCAATTCCTGCTCCTTGCGGTCATCTAACACTGACGAAACATCAAGCCGTACTCTTGATACATCAATACAATGCATAAGCACTGTCAAACCATTAACAAGCACTGCTCATCCGTCTACAGAAAACGCCAAGAAATTTGGTCCAGTTAAAGTAAGGCCTTTTATTACAGCCCCAAGGTAAGAAGAAAAGAAAATCCACCATCTACACGGACAGACCTGAAGAATTTCGGATTGAGTGTGAAGAAAAGAAAGCGAAGAAGGTAACAAAAAATGTAGGTATAGGATTGAAGAAAACGCACACGAAGAAAGAAAGTTCAGCAATAAGCGAAGATGAAGAAGAATGTTTTTGCCTAGAATCTTTCAGCGCTAGTAAACCAAATTGCATGCCACAATAGTCTTATCAATTAAACATGTACATTTTTTTGTTTATAAAATATGTTTTATTTTTTTATGAATTATAGTCAGACTTGTGATCCATCTGTACTAATTTTTGTTGACGCGATTTTTGTTATATTTCAGAATAACTTTATCATTATTTTAGAATATGTTATATTTTTTACTAAATTAAATTCCAACTATTTACCACATTCGATAAAGACACGGTGTTGTCGAAACAATAGTCATGTAAAAATATATAATTTCGTGAGAATCTGAACTTTTACTTCTTATTTATTTTGATAAAAGGATTCTCATGAATTGAAAACCACCTCAGTTCAATTTACTATTAATAATAATAACTAATAACTAATAATATTAATATAATAATTCTCTTTTCATTCATAATCGTTTATTTGAATGATCGTTCGTTATTCAAATCGATGATTCCGATTATGCACATCACTAACCTGAATCTCCCCGTGCGATTTTCTCCTGGCAAACTTTCGAAACACCGATAGTTGAGACGTACGTCGGTTCTCGGTGTTTTCCGCGTCGGTTTTGGCGCTCGACGTTCGTTCGTTTACGGAATTCATCGCGAAGTTTCGTAAGGTGCGAGATGCGATACTGAAGCGGCGCTACGCTAGTCGCCCGTATTTATAAGGGTAGGTGGCGCATGGCTCTACGCGCTTCAAGCACGTGAGTTTTTGTTTGTTTGTAATCGATATGTGGTTTTAACACGTGATATTTACGGGCCGAAAGTTTCGATTGCCGCGGGAGACGGAGGAGGCGCGAACCCTTACGCGGCTTTTCTGGAAGACGATTGTTTCTCTTTTGTGCGGGTTGAAAGTCGTTGGAAAGCGTGGCGGTTGGGTTTCCCCGAAGAAGGTTGTTTATCGTCTCGACCTGAATTCCGTCACGTTAAGCGTTCTTTCTCAAATAATTTTTTTTTTCAAATAAGGATAGCTTTTCAAGATTGCAATTTCTTAAGTGTAAGTTATAGTTTTGATTAGTTAGTTACCCAAATAGCACAAGGACGTCCGTAAAACGTCTTTGCGATATCCTAAGGATAAATTGTTTCCATAAGACGTCTCAAGGATATACGATGTTACTAAATGGAACGTCCACAGTATATCAGATGCGTATGGCCGTGGGATGTTTGTTGGGACATACTAGGGATATCCAGTTATACTAATTGAGACGTCGTTGGTATATCCGACTGTGAGGAAATAGGATCTTATATAGATATACCAGTGGACCTTACTTATTAGGTTATTTCCAACAGCCTATGAGAAATACTGGAAAGGTAATGTCCGATAGTCCCATTGGTTGTAGGACTACAAAAATTCTATCCCAGTATTTGGTACTGGCGTGTGATGGAATTAACTCATTGGGTATGGTTGGTGAAGTCATAACTGGAATAGCAGGCGATATTTGAAATGCACAAATTTTTTGCAATTAATATTATTTAATCTTTAATTTTGCTTTTGATGGTAAAAGTGAAGGACTACCGACTGATACCATTAATAAAACACATTTTATACACTTTTTTTTCTATTGTAGATATGAAAAAATTTTAGGTGTATAATATAACAAAAACATAGAACAACCTAACCTAAATTATCTTAAATATAGAGTAAGATACTATCTTGAACTATACTCTAAAAGAATTAGTGATATTTGACAGGTTTTCTGTCTTTGGTGAAAGTAGCTCTTTTCGGGGAATTCTCACATTCTTTTGATGTTTGTGATGTGTCTGACTTCTTATCCGCATCCGAAAATATTTTAGTTTTGAGAAAGACAGGATTTATTTATCTGTACTTTATGAAAAAAAATAAATAAAAGGAACTTATTTGTTTAAAAAAAAGGTTTCAAAAATCCCAACATCCGCCTTTACGAAATGCTTGATTTGACGCTGATAGTGATCCTAGATGCTAATCTGCACGATGATCTAGGTATGTATTTATGTAATTCATTTGATTAAATACAAACCTCATTAAACTCTTATCGGTAAGATCTCCTTCATGAGAGTAGGTAATATCGCCCGCAAAAAAAAAATAAAACAAATACGACTTTTAAGTTTGACAGTAAAGTACCTACTATCACTATGAAAACTAGCCTTACAAAATAGGAAAAACGTTTCTATGAATTAACCCAAGAACCATTTTAATGTGAAAATTGGTCTTTATGCAGGGTGATTCCCAAAATTAATACTTTGTTTTTGGGGGCCGATTCTTGCATCCATTTTAAGAATAAGATATACTATATTATATTATATATATTATATTATATACCTAAAATAGTATATTATGCAACAAGTGCGGTAAACGGCATCTGACTCACGAGTTTATTTGGCACGAGCGGAGTGTTTAGTAGCGAGTGACTTCAAAAGTTTACCGAACGTGTTGCATACTATACTTGTTCTACGACCATTACTCGTTGGATATATTTTCGCAAAACAACACGAATACATTTACTGGCATGGCCGTCAGAATTGACAAACGTCAAAATCCAACCCGTGCAATAAAATTTCAAAAAACATCCGATTGGTCCCAAACCCGTGCGGTAATATCCCGAAAATGTTCGAAGTGGCTCGGAACCGTGGCAAACGAAACTGACAAGGGAGTAGAAAAAGATTATTTTGCCGCCATGTTTGTATCGATTGAGTTTTGATCCTAGCATTGTTTACTTATATAAAAAATTAGTTTAGTTTTGTATGCCTAAATTTAACTGCTCAAAAGACATGAAGAAAAAGTGGATTTTATTCTTGTTTTCAAAAACTAAGCAATAAAATACGAATCGAAGTCTAAAATCAAAAAAGACATGTAATCTAAAACGTATATTATAGGTAATATAGGTTACAAAAAAGTCAATTTTATCTTAACTTGGTCCAGCAGCCACTTAAAAAAATTATCAACTACGCAATCACCATAACACATATTTTTTAATTTTAAAAATTTCTCTATTTTCTTCATGCCCAACAAAGTAAATTTCATTGCAAATTCATTTGAAATCAGCGGGGTCAGAGCTTGCTATCTCATCGACCTAGCAAAATAATATAAAACAAGGCATGATGTTGGTAGACTACAAAACAATGGTCCGTTGGCTTAGAACTTATCAAATCTTATGTTATATATTACCACTTATATATTACCACTTACATGAATTATTAGTTTTTCAGTAATACCACAAAAAAATAACTGAAAGCACTGAAAGCAGTAAGCACAAAATACTCAAAATAGACGCCAAGTCACCGTAGACGGAGGAGAAGCCGACGAGACTCAAGCGATAAACAAATAAGCAATACAAATATAGGAAAGAAGAAAATAGGTGATGTTCTAAACTGACTAAACTAATAATTTATAATCAAATCAATATGAAAATATTTTCAGACGTACCTAAAATGTTATACTTTGATTAGTTAAATTCTTGAAAAGACTTGATTGATTGCAAAGTGGAAGTTTCTTTGAAAGATCAATTTTATACTCCACTTTATGGATTAATGTCGGTAAATCGACCGAAAGAAGCGATCCTCCCGGGATTTTAGGTCATTGGGTCATCGAGCTCGGGTTTCTTGAATGGCTGCCTACGTCACGGCCGAGATCAATCATCGTCAGGAAAATTGTTTCTGTATCGCCTTTCGCTTTGAACAAAACGTTAACAGAGTAAATATTCTCTATAGTTTTTTCGAGCGTTTGATTTTTCCCAAAGAGCTGGGGTAATAAGACACTCACTGGTACCCCAGAAATCGTAACTGTACGGAGGTGTCCAGTTGCCGAGGTCGTAGGTTTGAAAATCTTTTATTAAAAAAGAACCAATTTGTTTTAACGATTTATCCATTTATTTTTAAAAAAGTCTACCTAACAGGCATGAAGCCTAACTAACAGGTTAGTGTTGTATGTATGTAATGGTCAGTTAGTTTGTAAAGTGAATCTTCAGATGAAGAAAAAATATTTCATGTATTAATTAATTTACAATAAAAAACTTTTCAAACATATTATAACATATCATTTCTTAATCATTATGAATTTATAATTACACTAATTACAGTAAATGCTCTTTGCTCTATAAAGTTATGTTTTTAAAAGTTACCTTCCCCTCAAATTAGTTCCCCACTCTAACTGGCTATTGGCTACAAATCCCTTAATCACGCCTTTGAATGTCCGTTTTTAAAAGTTACGCTACCCCCGAAAGCGTAACTTTATAAAGCGTCCATTGTAAATATTTTTTAGGGGGACAACTCAATAATTAAGGCGACTATAAGGGTTTTTGACACAAACTTTAGGGATAAATATTTTGGAGAGTTGGTAACACTGTGAAAGTCTCTTTGAAAAATTAAGTATTTTGCGATTAAGATGAGAAGGTTTAATTCCAGATTCTCGGATTTTAATGTATCTGAAGTGATGTTGAGATTTTCAAGAATAGGGACTTTAGTAAATTGGGATTCTACGTCGAAACTAACTAGAACATCATGTGGATCTAAAGTAATACTTTTTAGTTGTTCAGTGAAATGAAAGCAATTCAGTACGAAAGTATCAGGTTTCCCTGTAAAGAGTTTTAATATAAAAGCTAGATATTTTGCCAGAGAATATACTGCCGAACCAATGGTGCTGACAAAAGGTCAAAGGTTTAATCGATAGATCTGATAGATAACAAGCCTTAATAACAGATTTAAGGTTGTGTTTCCTGAAATGATTTTCTCTTTTGGGATAATACAAGGGACAAGGACAAAGTTGGAACCTTTTGCAAGAACTGATTCTTCCGTGAAAGTTGGTGCGATGATACATATACAACAGTGTTTGGTAGTTGATAAAAGTTTGATGGTTTCACTAGTGTTGGCGTTAGTTTTGAATGTGATTCTGGGTAGAGGAGAAACGAAAATTTTGAGCATTATGTTGAATCATGTTTGAAATCGTACCGAACTCGAATGGGGACAAGATGGAAGCAATTTTAAGATATAGATACAGAAGAGTCTTATTGATTTGGTCTAATTCCTTACGGGAGTGATGAATTATTTCTCGAAGTAAAGCAAGACTAAATTTTGGAATAATTTTAATCCAGTACCTGACGACGATTTATATTTCGATTTCCCTAGATTTAGAATAGAAGAATATATAGCAGAGAGTTACCTCCTGCTGCGATTCCAAATATAGTATGGCAACAGAACGGGGTACCATATAACATATATATAACAGACGTAAGAGACTATCTACGAAATAAATACAATGGTGTGATACTGTGGCCTCCCAACAGTAGAGATCTTAATCCTCTTGACACCATTTTATCGGCCTCCCTAGAATCATGAAGGCTCCTAACAATTCTGAAAATATAAAGCCGAATACGAGAAAAAGTTGAGGACCTAAATGGGCAACCGGAACTTCTTAAAAAATGTATCGAAAACCTACACGTGCAGATGAATGCTGGTCATTTCGAACATCTTTTGTGAAATAAATTTAGAATACCAAAGACTATGTTTTACTAATACGTTTGTTAATAATACTTAATATTGTTTTTTATTGGTAAGCAATATATAGTTAATATTAAAAGTGTCATAATAATTACCAATATGACAAAATAGAAAATCGTACAACAAATAAACTTTTGCTATATC